CTGTCAGCCCCATACAAACACCACCACCAACAACAGGAGCTAGTTCATTCTTCTTCAATGCAGGTGAGGTGTAATTGCTGATGCCGCTTTAGTCGGTGTCAGCCTCACCGCAGCGGCGCCACAGACCACGCCCCGCCACATACCCCCATCACCCGACTGAGGCCGGGGAGCCATTCGGCCGAACCTACTGCGAGTGGGAGAGGGAATCAGCCACGACTGTCGGCATCTTCGGCCCATGGTCTAGCGGCAGGGATGTGTTAGACCCGGGTGCCGACCGTGTTTCCAGCGGAGGCAACGGAGCTGGTCTGCAGGCTGACCGCGTGGCGGTGGTGGTGCAGCAGATGCGGATGTGAGCCAAGGCTTACAGGCGACTTGGCAGGCAGCCGGCGTTGGCCTCTGGTGGAAGCGAGGCAGGTCCAGCTGGTGCGCAGACCCTCGACTCGGCCAGGGCAGGTCCCTTCCGCACTTTCCCCTGTCTCCAGCTGTGCAGAATCCCTGGCTCGCTGTCCGCCGGCTCAGACAGAGCATGCCCCTCCGGCGCCATGACCCCCAGCTCCGGCAGAGCAGGTGGCTGAGCACGACAGGGGCGTAATTTCCGGGAGGGGTTGGGGGGGGGATTCTGGCACCAGCTGCTCCCACCTGCAGAGTGGGTACGGGTGTGGAGGTAGGCTGTGTCCTGGCTGGCCTCACCCCAGGAGTCAGCACGGAGCAAACCGGACATCAGCTACTCTCATGAAGTCGAGGAACGTCAGTGGGGGCGGCTGTGACGGTATCGACCAGGACCCGAGCCGAGCTGCCAGATTTTGTATTAGCTGCATCCGGCACTCGGGCCGAAACACTGCCGCCTGCTCCCTCTGCGTGCCACCATTTGGGCCAGCGCCTCCATTGGCTGGCCAGGTCGCAGTTCCGCAAATGTGAGATGATGGGTGGATCACTTTCAGGCTGGCATTCTGTTATTCATTCAGCTATCCAAACATCCAAAGGAACGTGTCTACTGGACAATGATATTCCTACGTTCAGCTGCTCCCTTGCTACAAGGGGTCGCCACAGTGGGTAGATGTCTGATTTGTCAGATTTTTATACTGGATACCATTCCAGCTAGTGGAGGTCCCACTGATATCACTACTTTTATTATTAGTGATTTCTTTACTTAGCGAATGCGGTATGTCCTTGTAGAACAGAAGTTGGGTTAGTCCACTTCTTACATAGATATAGATCTTGATTGAGTCATATCTACTCTAAAGTAACCAATGAAAGAAATTTTTTTTAAAAAGCTGCTGTGATTAGTCTCTTCAGTGAAAACGTGTTTGTGCCTCGGAAGTTCTTTGAAGTAGTTTTGTACAATGTCATTTCAAAGATTGGCTGTAAATGGCTAAAGCAGGGGGAAAAATTACATTTATTTTTAGTTCTGAGCTTGTCAGCTATACTACACGGCTATGATGCCGTCTTGGGAGGAGTGCATAGAAAAAAAGTTTCCATTTACTGTCACTCCACTCTGGTGCACTGAGAGTTGCCTTGCTGAAATGCAGACTTGGCTGCCACCAGTGGGAGTTTGCCATGATTGTGTTGTGCTGCTGCTGCTGCTGCTGCACTGGGTTTTAGGTAGTGCTGAATGGGCACAGGGACAAAAGCACAGTGAGGGAGATGACCCCTGGGCCAGCTGTCATACAAGCAATACAGAGAAACGAGAGAAGTTCTCCAGAAATAGCGTCGTACTTGTCCTTCGTAATGCGGCATAGAGTATAGACGCTGACAATAAGTGACATTTCCATACGTGTGTGGCTGAACATCTGCCTGTCTGGCTTCCCTATGTGTCAATGGGCAATAAAGGTTATTCTTTATGATGTGTGTAAGTGGATCTGCTATGAAATGTCACTGTCACCGAGAGAACGAAGGTCAGTGGAAGGGACCCGGGGCTGAGACGAACCAGCTTGGCGGATAATGTATCTGTATGAAAAGGTGTTATAAGGTTCTGCACGTGTAGCAGGGTGGAGGAGCGTCACAGTCACTGAGTGAATATTTCCACCCACGTGCCCTTCTGTTCTTTTTTGCTGTTGTCCTTTGTTTCTCCTCCTCACCCCCTTCGGTTTGCACAATCCTTCCCGTCCAAAATAAACTCAGTTTTAGCCACCTAGGAGGGCGCTTTAGCAGAACACCTGCGTCACTCACACAGAGTCTCCTGGCCTACTTACAGTCCTGTGCTTCGTCATGACCTTCTGCTTGTTTTCTGTGCTTGGATACAACATAAATGCACATTCACCATTATGAGTATATGCATTTTTACACAATTGAGAATCCTTTTTAGATTTTACTTCTTTAGGACTCCAGCAAACCCGAACGCTATGCAAAAAAGCATTCCAGCTGTTGTTCTTGTAATCCTTATGCTTCAGCGTTCCCTCTTTTTGCTCCCCTTCCCTTCACCCTTCCTCTAATCCTTGGACAAGGTGAAAATCGTTTCTGGAATGCATGCATTTGTACGATCTATGCTCAGAGTGGGTCTGCGTACGACTCTGTTCAGTAAAGGCAGCAAATTTGCATTATCCCATTTGACTGAAATCTAAATAGATTTCTGACCGTTTCTGATTAAAACGAAAGTCTGTTTTGCTTGAGGCACTGAAACCTCGTATAACACAACATTTAAAAAAATTACTGCAATTCTTGTGGATTTCCCCTGCCAGTAAATCCTCTACGCAGGCGAAAATACAGAGGATATTTTCATATTTTTGCTCGTGACTGCTGGGCACAAAGCACACTCTTAATTAATATGTGTGTAGTCTGTGTTTTCCTCTCACCTAAAACCAAGCAGGTGCTTTTATTTAAAATCAACATCTTACCTCAAAGGCATGCAGTAAAAACGGAAAGGTACCCATTGCAAGCTACGTAAGTTCTCAACTGACTGCCACTAAGGTTGCAGCAGTTGGCAATTAAGTGCCTCGGTGAACACAGCATTGCCAGAATTTGCTGAGATATGACTATTTCATGTTCTCATTTCAAGCTAACCCGAAGGCCGAAGCTGGTGTAATTTTGGTCCCGAGCCCACTTGTCTGTCTGTATCACTTACAAAGGAGAAGTCTGGCGCGTTTTGGCACAGCAGTCGGGGGAAGACAGCCTGTCTCTGGACGCGCTCCTCGTCCTCAAACACGTTGCCATACATAAAGCCGTTCAGCATAGTGGAGTGGGCATGAACATCAATGTAGAACTCCAAACTGACTCTCTGATGGAGGAAAAGAGAAAGAGAACAGAGGGACAGGGAAACAGACAGATGATAAAAAACATCAGGTTAGCCGGGATACTTTTCTGTCAGTGAGCAACACTCCACATCAGAGATTCTCCACTGGGAGTAAGGAAAGTCCTCTCTCGGCTCTGGGGATACTTCGCCGGAGAGAGGCTTTCACCCATGGGATGACAACAAAACCCTCCAGACACCGAAAATACGCTGATACCTAAAAGGAGCCAACCACCCACACATAACTTCCATCAGGCTGTCCTTCTGAAGGGCACGGTTTCAGTACGTACATGGTCGGGTGAGCCAAGAGCAATATCGTGAAAATACACACGCTCAGGTGGACGTCGCAGATTCATCACGCACACCAAATGTATTTATCAGGTTAATACCGACTTCATATTGAGAGTGTAATGTCTTTTCTCTCTAGTACACTCTGTGTAAAATGGATTTGATAAGATCTGTTTCTCCAGCTTGACTCTGCTATCAGTCTACACACACACACACACACACACACACACACACACACACACACACACACACACACACACACACAGAGTTTGAGAGAGAGAGACTTTTATCTTATGATACAAATAAATGACATATTTTTCTGACCTCCAGCTACAACCTTTGCTATAATATGACAAGCTGCAGGACCATCATAATACATGAGTATTACTCCAGATGCCTCCCACAAACACCGACTCTACCTACCAGCTGTGAGAATCACAACATTCCAGTTTGAAAGATTTAACATAATTGTATGCAACGTCACAAGATTTGATTTTTTTTGAGTCAACAATCAGAGTGCAGATCAGAACAGCCAATTTAAAGAAGTGCAGTCACACTAATTCAAATGGCGTTTAATTAAAACACGTGACAACATGAAGTTCACACAGAAAAATAATTGAGTGTGACACAAAGAGTAAATTCACTCTATTTCTGAAAGCACTGCTAATGGGTGTGATTGTCTACAAACTGAGAACAATAGTTAGATGGCTCCTGGAAACATTAAAGTATATAATTATTGTAAAAGTATTCGATTTTTTCTTCTTTCCACATTCAAACCTTTGTTTTCTACAGCTGTGACTGACTTGCAGATTTTCTTTCTTGTGCCATTTCAAGTTATTAAGACACACTAGTACACACTAATTGCCAAAGCATCACTCAAAATGTGGATGGTAGTATATATAGCATTATCTGGCAGTAGCGGTTTATCTGGTTTTTGCATTTCTCTCAATAAATGACAACATGCTGCGTAATTTAACTATATACAATTCAAAATAAACACAGACCTGCTTTTATCTCACACTGAGATTATAATTCCTGAACTGGAATCCTAAAGCGAAACAAGGTGTGGTGAGAGGACTGGCAAATATGACCTCACTTGGCTAAAACCTTCTCACTTCAGCAGTCTTACACTGGTTCTGACAAGGGCAAGCACACAAGCCCTCACACAACCCCCCCACCCCCCCACACACACCTCCAGACCCTTAACTCCAGAGCAACACCCGCCAGTGCCATCCCTCCTCTCTCCCTCCTCTATCTTATCACATTGTTCCCCTTTTCCTACTTTTATCCTTTCATTCTGCTTCTTTTCCTTCTTTATCTCTTCCCCTCCCTCCTTCCCACTCGGCTCATTAACGATTCCCTACCACACCTTGTTCCCCTGTGGGTCGTAAAGAGGAGGAGGGATGGAAGACTGAAAGGATGGAAAAGGAGAGAAGAGGGTATGGAGTGAATGAGGGGTCAAAGAAGGGAAGGATGGAGGTAGGAAAACCCAAAAGGAGAAGGGAACAGCAAAGATGGACAAAAGGCAGAGAAGGAAAACAATGCATGGCTGTGCGTATGTGTGAGTGTGTGGAGAGACAGTCGGGCAGCGATGGGAAAACAGAAAAGCACAGAGATGGGGGTGGAAAGAGAGAGAAAAGGAGAGAATAAGTATATAAAGATGAACAGAGAGAGGGCGAAAATGAGAGAAAGACAGAAAGAGATAGAGAGAGACATAGAGATGTGTGTAGGGAGATTGGCAGGAGAGAGACTAGAGAGAGAGAGAGGGAAGCAGTGCTTGGGCGGCCCAAGCGACGCAGTGTGCCTGTGTTTGAAATTCCGCTCACAGCCAAAGCAATTTCCTGGCGGTGGCTGTGCTGTCAGCTGCTTGGCTGGCTGGCGGTGAAATATGGTGGCTGGGAGTCGGCCGCTAGCAGCCCCCGACAACCTGATGGATGGAGCCCCAGAGGAGAGGAACAGCAGCAGGAGAGGGTAGGGTTGGGTGGGGTAGGGGGAGCGTGGGGAGAGGAAGGGAGAAACAAGAGAAAAACAAAACAAACAAAAAAAAGAGCAAGAGGGAACGAAGGTAAATGCAGCCAACTGAGCAGCGGTGGTGGTGGTGGGAGGGAGGCGGAGGGAGACGTGTATTAAGTATATGTACATAAATATGTATGTTTAAAGTAAAATAAAAGGTAAAAATAAAAGAGCGAGGGTAAAGAATTCAAAAGCAAATCAGGAGGAAGATGGAGAAAGTACAGAAAGGGAGAGAGCAGGAAAGGAAGCTCAAGGTGTGCCAGGCAAAGCCGGGGAAACCAGCCTAATAATTTCCTGGCTCTCCCCATATGTGGAGGGGGAGGAGTGAGAGGAATAAGAGGAGGAGAAGGTAGAAACGGCTAGATTGGAGGAGGGCGGGCAAGCAGGTAAATGGTAGATTGGGTGCAGATTAGAGGTTAAACGGGTGTTACATGGCTGTGTGGAATAACAGTGAGCCTTAGGTGTGTACACTTTAATCAAATGTATGTAGAAATGCAAAAACTATTATAAATAACACTGTGAACAGCCTGCCAGCTGACTTTAGGCAATGTCTCTTGAGGCCAGAAGACAAAATAATATCTTATCAACTAAGAATTCATCTTAAATGTTGTTGGGTTATTGTTATCCTGCCTCTTCCCAAACCCCAAACACATACACGTTAGTTTATCTGAAGACAGCTGGCTGTATAAACATCGACATGCGTGTGGATTGATGTCCGTTTCTGTGTGTTAACCTTGCGATGAATTGGCTCACTCTAGCTGCGATGGCTCCTTTCCCCCCATGACTTCAATAACATAACGTAATGCATGTAAAGATTATTAATCTGCAGCAACATAATTTTGGAGCAAAAACCAAACCATGCCCCAAAGTACACAAAGTATACTGACTGCCTTTTCTAGATTCCTTTTGCCAATTTATTCTGGAGACTGAAAGCGAGCCCACAGACTCATGGAAGAAAAAGCTGAGCTTCAGGAACACTGTAAAGAGAGAAGTTGAGTTACCTGACTCACATATTCATGTTCACAAAGTGAGACAACCAGATAATCCTGATAAATCTATAAGCGCTATAAAGCTGTGTAATAACTCTTCATTCTGTGACAGGTGAACACACCTGTCAGGCATATGATCCCACACATATTTTTGTATTATACCTTCATGCCGTTGTTTTCCTTAGATTTATAGTGTACATATTATTCTCCCCAAAAGGAAGGAAGCTGTAATCGGTTCTGTTTGTCTGTCTTTCTGTTTGTTAGTTAGCAGGGGGAGTTAGTTATCTTGTCTATTGATCTATCACCTTCAGTTCTATCATTTCAATGCTCTAATCTAAACCCACATGGTTGCCACATGCTACAAAGGTCTCCTTCGCACTATATTGTGAAGGACACTAAAAAAGAGGCAGTAACAGCCATGGCACCCCCACAATGTCATGTCCATGCTTAATACAATGTTCAGCTAATGCCCTGCCAATCAAACTGAGACGGTTCTGAAGGCCCCACCAGTGTGATTGATGCTTCAATTAACAACCCGCTCTGACCTCCAAAATTGTTCATTTGAAATTGTAATTAAGCAATTAGGGGCAATTAAGAAACAGAGACTGCTGAAAGAAAGTCAGAAGACAATTTGAGAGTGCGAGAGAGAGAAACAGAGAGTGAGCGAGTGTCCAAATGAAACCTCTCAGAGAGAAACAAAAGCCGCAGAAACTCCAGGGAACTCTCAACTTGCGGTGAACTTGCAGTGGCGGCAAACAGTTTAGTGTAAAACCTAGAAGGTCAAATGAATGAATTTTGTCAGACAAGTACTTATCTGCTGCATATTAATTAGAGCAGGGTGCGGGGGTGCGATGAGGGCCGTAAATGCTGGGCTTATCTTTACACGGAAAGGAAAAAGGAGCTGATTGAAGCAGGATTACAAGCTCTTGAATAAAGCTCTTGGCATCAGCAGCATACCTTTTGGGGAGAAGGGGAACTGCTGCTTGTTCAGGAGAAAAAAAGTTAAGTCTACTAGTATAATGCATTTTATCCCACATTAATTATCCAGTATAACACCTGTGGGAGGACTGTTGTGCATTTTTCTGTCTGCAATATGGCAGTATATGAAGCACTGGCAGTTACAAAGAAAGGGACGTTGCTAGCCCCTTTGACAGGTTCACAGCTGATTCATTCAAAAACAATGAAGGGACTTTAAACGTGAGCTCAGGGGTGGAAAAATAAAGCTAAAGAAGAGACCTGAGTCTGGCTCCAACAGAAGCCACTCCTCCTGTTAAACTATACAGCACAAGTAAGCGTGATGCAAGCAACTGGAGATAAAGTATCTGAATTTCAGGAGCAGGACCACGCCTCCAAACACGCTCCTCCCGGTTCTCATCTATATATGTTCCCCCAGTTCTACAAGCTGTTTGTTCTCGTTTCTTCCCTCCCATTTTCAATTCTTTAACGTCTTCACTTCTACTTAGTACATGGGGATCTGCCAGGCCCGGGAGCCGCTGTCAGTCCCCTTCGAGGCCTTCCCCAAACCACAGTTCATGTCCAAGCCATTCACCTTTACCTACTAAAACCCTGTCAAGCCTCAAATGAGGACGTGGGCCCAGCGAGTGAAATAAATATCTTAAATAAAATGGTGCAAAAAAAGATTTTGTTCTAGCCAAACCGTTAGCAAGTTGCTAGTAGTTGTCGCTGTGAGAAATTGGT